AAGCATTAAAGAACTAGAGGAAAGTTGTATGTTTCATCGGTGCTATAATGCACCCTGACTTGTCTCTTCCTTGTGACCCTTCTGTAAGGGGATGTCTAATTACAAGACACTTTCTATAGAAGTTTCTTTCTTATGTGAAACCTCCAACAGTTCAAGGTTGCGTGTTTTCCCCCCTTGAGACCTTGTTTATGTATTGTTAACACAAATGTATATTCTTATGTTTCTTAAAGCTATTGTATACCAATATATCAGGGTTTACTCTTGAGATGCATTTCTTCCATATCCTGGCTAGACTGTGAACATCCCCTATATTATTGTTAGGCGCTGTGGTGTTAGGCTTATGATGACCCTGGTACAAAGCACTGACTTCTAGTAATTGGCATAGGCAGATAACAAGAGCTTTTCAAGGAAGCAAACATGGATTTTCAGGCTGGTTCAGACTCACGGCTGTTGAGTCCATTGTGACTCATACCAAACCTATAGGTCAGCGTTGAGCTTGCCCCTGTGGGTTCCTGAGATTTTTCTACAATTCTTTTAATTTAAAAAATGTCCCTACTCCCAAGACATGACTGGTGGTTTTGAACACTGACCTTATGGTTAACAGCCCAATGTGTAACTACTAAGTCAGTTCAATTCAGCCAAACAAAAACCCACTGCCATTGAGTTGATTCCAACTCATAACAACTCTTTAGGACAAAGCAGAACTCCTGAAATCCTTAAGGGAACGGACAGCCTCATCTTTCTCCCAGGGAGTAAGAAGTGGCTGATGGATTAGAACTGCTGGCCTTGCCTTTAGCAGCCCAAAGAGTAACTTGTTACAGCATTATGCTCCTAATTCAGCAAGGTATGAGTTAATTTTAATCATTCTGTTTAAATTCAAAAGGCTCTATACATGTCTCCTTCATTAAATAATTGGCTACTGAAGTTGGGATCTCACGTGATTCAGTATTTTTATTTTAAGCAAAAATCTTGGCTTCAGTAAGTTTTCAGTTTTATGGCTGCTGAAAATCAAAGAGTTGATTTTTTCCAT